CCCCAAAACCCCAAAACCCCAAAACCCCAAAACCCCTTTCATAAAATTCAGCTTGAAAAGAGAATATTTATTCAGAAAAATGAGTACAAACTCCAAAACACATAGCAATTTCTTCAAAGAGAGTAACCTGAGAGAAGTCGGTTTCACTATTGATAAGTAAGTCTCAGTCGTAAATTTTCAGAGTGATCAAAATACTCAAGAAGGCAATTACCAATGGTAAAGCCAGTGATTTCTTAATGGCTAAGAGCAAGAGAGATGACCATAGGTACCCTCTTCACCTAAGCTTTAGAGAGGATGTGACTAGGCTAGCCCAAGTTCTTGAATCATGAGTCGCGGCCCAGGTAGAAACAGATAGGTAAGAACAACAAGAGTTACCAGTTTAGGCAGATTGATAAGAAACTAGTGAAATTAGCTCAATTACTAGTCCAAATTCCTGAAGCAGTCCTCAAGAGTCATGAGAAAGCAGACGAAGGAGTTGATATTAGCAAGTCTACTCAAGAATGAGATATTAATGAAGAGACTGAAAAGCAGATCTCCAACATCCTTCAAGTTTTGGATAATCTTTGAGGTTTTGACTGAATAAAGAAAGCTGAAGATTCATGTGAGCTAGTCCATCTCATAACTATAGACTTATTAGAGAAGGTACTCTTGACAAAATAACTATATTCTTTCAAAACAGGTATACTCTTAATTCTAACTGAATTAGTCGACTCTTGAGAAGCCTATTGTTGATACAGAAGAAAGCAAGGTAGAGAATCTTAAGCTATTGGAGGGCGATGATGCTGAAAAGTCAGTCATACTAGCTGAAAGTTCAGGAGAAATCTTGATGCACAACAAGGTGACTCTGTCCATCTTCAACAGAAAGGAAGATAGTCTGGTAGGACTCAACTTCTTTGAACTCATGAGCAGCTATGATAAATAAGTTCTTCAAGCTAAACTGCATGCATAATCACTACTTGATGAATGATGGAATGGATATGGATTGTCAGCAAAGATCTCACCTAGTTCATTCAAAATAACAGCTGTGTACAAGGATACCGAGTTGTTTATTCAGAGTCTTGAAAGAAGAGCACAATTAGATACTCAACTCCTCATACTGAAAAAGTAAAGTACAAAGAGCTAAATGTACTTGTGAGCAAAATTAGGTAAGAAATATTCCTATTGCAAGATATTTACTCTTTATAGGCCTACAAAATACTCCACTGTTGTCAGTATAAAAGAGGATCACCATTACAAGAACTCCAAGATCTCTAAATATTTTGATACAAAAGAACTTCAATATGGAGTTGAAGAGAAAGAGTTTATAAAAATCTATACCAGGAAAGCCAGTGAGAGAACAAAGCAGAAGCAGTTTGCTCTTATCTCTCAGCCTGAATTCCAGAAACAAGTCATGCCTGATATGAACCATGAAGCGGCTGAATGTTTACAAGTAGCTCCAAATATCTCCCCTCATCTGCCGGATTTTGAAGATTTCCAGTCATTCTTGGATTACATTTAGGTAGTCCATCCTAATCCATGGCAAAATTAGAGCTACTAATTTTCAGTTAGACAGCTGTACAAGGGGTTTTGGGGTTTTGGGGTTTTGGGG